AGGATGAGAGAAGGAGGATGAATGGATGTGGGTGAGGATGAGAGAAGGAGGATGAATGGATGTCGGTGAGGATGAGCAGAGGTCGGGATGAGGTAGAGGGGTGAGTGGATGAAGGGATGGGAAAGTGTGGGTTGAATAATCTGACACAAACAGGGTGAGATGGGTTGACCATGTTGGCTTGACAGAGGAATAGAGGTGTAGTTGAGGCGTGGCCCTGCTCTTGATCCTATAGTTACCTGATAGTTCAAGAGGGAAGGTTGTGATCTGAACCTGAAGTACACTGTTTGCTGCATACAATTACTCCTTAGATGCATATACAAACAAAGCATCAGTGTTGATCTTTCTATTGCTGGAGAAATGAGTGTAGTGGTTGTAAAGCAGATGCAACGTGCAGGCAGAAGGATGATGAAGCCAGCATGTCCCCAGGTGTCATGGAGGTGTGACTGGTTGATTGGTGGGTTCTGTGAGCTTTATAGATGACAGTGACGGGATGATCGATGTTGAAGCATGCTGTGTCTGAGGCAGACTGACAAATAGGCCACATTTTCTGTCAGAGCTGCTCTAAACAAAGCTCTAAAGGATATGTTGCAAATGTCCGGGCTTGCTGGATGTGCTGCACTTGCAGGCGGCACAATAAACTCCCCTTCTCTCCTGCTCCTGGGATGGAAGACGTGAAAGTGTTCAAGCTAAATCAGAGCAGGTCAAATGTGTGGAAAGAGACAAAGGGCTAAATGAAGGGGAGCTGCTGTTTTATCCCCTGCTCCTTCTCTTTTGCCAACACAGCAGCTTGTTGTTGCTCACTAAGAAAAACCTTGATAATATAGTCGAAGCCCCCCTCCCTCCCCTTTCTCTCTTTCTCTCTCTCTTTCTGCATGTCTCTGCACACGCGCGTACACAAACACACAAGTGCACACACAAAAACGCACACGAGATTGCGCGCTCTCGAATGCAGAACGCGCAACAAGCTGGAGAGAGAGAGAGAGGCAGGAGAAGAGGAGAAGGACGGATGCAAGGCGAGGCCAGGAGCAGGAAACCTTATCTCTCTCTCTGCTCGTCCAGCTGCTCCTTTTTTAACCTCAGCATCATTTTATAACACGATCCCTGCTTTCCTTTTCTTTCTTTTTGTATCTTTGTATTTTAAAAGCTGCGTTCGCGTTCTGATGTGCCGCTGCGCCTCATCACGATTCCTCAAGGATATGCAAAGCGGCTGTTATCACGTCGACGGTAATTTCCATGAAATGCAAGGATGTAATTGAGCGACGTCGGAGGCGCTTATGATCAACGATGACAACAAGGCTGTAGGGATCGACGGCAGCTTTACAGGCAGAGAACGGTCTGCGCGTAAAATCTGCGTCTAATTATTGTTTTCGCCCAGCGGTCGCGCTATTTCCCTCCATCCGTCCATCGGGAGCTGTAGAAGGCCGATCGCCCCGCATCCTCTCTGGGCATGAAAACTCGTGGGAATTATGATACCAACGTGACGCGCAGTCACACAGCACTCAGCGGGGAAGACGACGCGCCTCGACAGGACGGAGGGAGGGTGTGAGGTCCAGCAGAGCGGAGCCCCGCACCGTGCGCTCATCACAGGAGGAGGAGGAGGAGGACGCCCAGTTGTTGTTGGACACATCGCGCTAATGACTGCTCTATAGCCCAGCAGGTATCACCCACCATCAATACCCCCCCTCTAAATATCTCATATAGTATTAGTATTATTTTCATGCGTCGGGCAGAGAGACAGCGCGGGGAGTACAGTGCGTGAGGGCGCGGAGAGACGGAATGCGGGAGACGCAGTGAGCGAAGAGGAGGAGGAGGTGGTGGAGGAGGAGGAGGAGGGAAACCGGAGGATTGACGGTAAGATATGGATATAGGCTATGAGGATGCACCCCGCCCATACTCTCTATATCTCCCTCTCTCCTCGCACGCACACGCGCACGTACGTGATCAGTGGGGATGGTGGAGGTGCCCTGCTCCTCTGCTGCTGCTGTCAGGGCCCATTTGATCACTGAGGGACAGGGGTCTGATTTGCTGCTGTGCTGGGCCTCACTCACTGCTGGCTGCCATTACAGCTGGGTCAGTAGTACAGGAGTGCTGTGAAATATTCATGGGCACGTGAACGGGCCTCCTCCTGAGGAGTGCAGTAGAGAAAGTGGCATATCATGATTTTCAGTGTCCCATGTTGCATGGTCCAAAGGGTCTGCCATCGGTGGGTTGGTTTGTGAGACCCTCAGTGCAGTTGTCTGGTGAACCTGTGCACACTTCAAGTGCTGTGTATAAACGCAGAGTCTGGTTTGCAGGTTTGCCCAGATGGGAACATGAGGAGCGAAAGAGAGAGGAAGACGAGCGTATGCTGAGTGAGAGTCCATTATCAATATTTCAGAGAGGGGAAGAGAGGACTGGGTCAGTGGAGGAGGCCAGGGAGGGAGGCAGGGGTGACCATGAAGGAGGGGGGAGACAGACAGAGATGCAGCGGTGGAAGGACGACGAAGGAAAGATGAGTAAGGGTGAGGAAAATGAGAGATGAGAATAGAAAAGGAATAGCTGTGTGGCTCCAACTCCTCTGTCAGGTGGAATTTCTTAAACACTTGTAACCTTGACTGTCAAGATTTTGTTTCTGTTGAATTTCTCATTTGTGTGATACTAGCAACAGCTTGAAGATTTTGCATATGAGAGGTGAAAATGATGAATAATTTGAAAATATTTATTGCCTACAGAGAAACGTTTGTGAACGCACATTGTAATAAGGTGACTCACTGTGTGCATGTGTGTGTGCGTGTGTGTGTGTGTGTGTGTGTGTGTGTGTTTGTGTGTGTGTGGCTGCACTGTGCATGTTAGATCGAAAAGGAGAAGAAAAAACATAACAAGGTTTACTTCCATGTAGGGATCATTTACATCAATCACTGAGGTGAAAAAAGAAAATTGATTTGCTTACAGCACACAAACACGCACACACACACACACACACACACACACGCACAGACAAGGATGGATTTGATGTCATTTGACTTGCTAATGCATCATATTGTTTTGTGTGTTACTTCGAACAGGTTCTCATCGTGTCTCTTTGCATCAGTCAGACACAGTGAGTTAGTTGTCTTGCGTACACGCTGAGCATCAATGCAGACCTGTTCCGAGCTGGGGGCGGATATATCAGTGTAATATTAATGCCATGACCCGAGACTGGCTGGTTCATATAGTAACAGAGTAGCTGATTACTTTCATTATGGAGCAACCGGCAAATTATTGTCATGATCAAGTATTAACTCAAAGTATCCAAAGCTTAGCGTGATGTAATGCCTGTTTTTTTTGCCCAACAATCAACAATTTAAAACCTTTGATCATATCTGACAATAAAAATTGTATATGATCGTATCTGAGATGCTGCATATTATGTTTTTTTGGAAATGTTTTGCTTGAAAAATTACTAAATTAAATCAAAATATTAGTTAATTCAATTGAAAGCTGTAATATTTCTGCTTATCATATAGTTGTGTCATCCTGGGACTGATGGCAGCATCACAGTTCAGTCATGCAAATTCCTGTTGTACTGGAGAGAGGAATGGAGATGGCCCGTTTGATTCTCAAATCCATATCCTTGTTTTTCTTTCTCAAAAGGCACAGATAATGTTTTTATTTACATTGTATTACATAAGAATAGCTATTTATTACAATTTATTGTTGTGTTTGTTAATTCTCATGTCCAAATGGCTTGGGTGATATTGTAATACAATGTAAAATATGAAATATACAATATTAATTATTTTAATGATCTTAAATTTGCTGAATAACTCATTTGTTGAGATGTTTGGTTCATCCTGTGAATTGAATATTCGACAAATCAAGTCACTGCAACACATTGATGAATGAAACCTCAAATCTGGTGGTTTACATCTCCTACAGATCCTCAGGGTCTACCTTCCTTCTGGTGCACGTTATCATCTCACAATATACCTATTGTCTGATGCGGCTGAATCACTTTCTGCCATCTTGCAAACAAAAGCCACCGGCTGCTCTCGGCACTGCTCTGTCTCACCTCGGTCAGTGATGGTAGAAGAAGCGGATGACATTTTGACACGCCTCAGGATCGCAATCTTGTTCTTTGTCCGAGTGACATGTTGAAACATCTAATATCATAGTAACATCTTGTGCTGACACACAAATCATGTTTAGTACAAAAGGGCACAGAGGGACATCAAGTCTGACACGACAGCCAGCAGACTACACTCCACCTTAGCGTTGGTTGAAATGACGCTTCCTCTGAAATGCCCCAGGTTGTGACTTCTCTGAATACGGTCTCATACCTAACTGAATGTTCCCGTCAGTTAGAAGGTGAAGGATTCTCATGTCGTGCTCTAGACATCAGAAGATGAAGTCGTTTCAAATGCTGAAAGAAAAGGAAAAGATTACACACACACACACGCACACACGCACAAGCACACAAACACACTCCCTTTATCATGCTGGATTCTCAAACTTTCCATCACATCATCCATTTAGGCTACATCATACCACTCATACATTTCTGCAACTCATTAAAAACCCTTTGCAAATATTTAACCAGCCCCGAGACGTTTGGTTCCTGGTCACTTCACATACTAGAATTTACATGTTCCAGGAACAACAAGGCTTTAATTGCAGCGTTTACCTGCTGTTTTATTGTGAAAACTACGAGCAGAAAACTAAGATAGATCTAATCTCAGCCAGTGTGCTACATCGGTTTGCACAGCCGTAGGTACACGTTCAGTCCACACTGTCAGTCCTGCAGCATCCTCTGTCACTACTATTTCCTAAGGTGGCTACTATCTAATCATTGGCAAGTGTTGATTTGAGCAAAAATACATTTTCTGCTGCTCACGCATTCAGGTAACATTGATTTGATTGTTTATCTCATGATTAATTATTGTTGTATACAGCTGTCATATCTACAGTAAGCTCCAGTCAATAATCAGGAGGCGTGGCCTGAGGTATAGGGCCTTTTTATATCAAAGTGAATGTAACTATGAGTTTCTGACTCATTCACCCAACAAGTTCTCCAAATCAAGCTGCAAAATACATGATATGTCCAAGCTCTTTAACAATAGGCTACCACTAAAGAAATCATGTTCATCAATTGATTGATCATTTTGTCAATACATCTGAAAATAGTGGGAAAACACGCAGTATAATATCCACAGCCCAGTGTGATGTCCTCAAATCTCTTGTTTTGCCTTTGCTTGGGACCATTGTGGAGGAGTTGCGATTGTGATGTGTTTTTAATCATCTCTCACTGAGTCCTGTGAGAAAACATCTGGCTGGAAGTGTTTGTTGATATTTGAGAGTTGGGATGTTCTGCCAGAAGCAGACCGTTTTGGCCCGGACAAGTTAACACACACTGTCTGTCAATATGGTGCAACTATTAGTTCTGCGAAATGCTAGTGATGACAGTTTGTAGGAAAACAGATATACCGAACCTGTATCTCTGCCAAAAGGAGACCAACTGAGATGATGTCAAACTGTAAAATCTGACAAGTGGCTCTTGCTTACAGAATATCTAGGAGAGTGATTGCCTCAAAAAAGGTAAGTAAATATAACTATTGGTTATGTTTACTTCATATGTGGTTATTATTCAGATTCTAAACTTATTTGTAATTATTTAATTAATTTTATGAAGCTGTTCCAATTTCAAAATGTCTGGTAACATTACCTTGTTCTAAATTGAGCAGGTTAAACCACTTAAGTTAGTCTGACTTAACTGAATAGTTGTGTTTACTCACTAGAAACCAACAGTTAAATGAAATAAGTAAGCACAACAAAGAAAGAACCAAGTCGTATGCTACTTGAGCCGTTCCTCTTATAGCTGTGCCCAAACAGAACAGAAGATTTCTGTTGCTGAGAAGGGCAAAGGAGGAGGGAGGACTTAATATGGCATACAATATATGATAATATTTACAATGCAGAAATTGGTGGGATGTATGTTTGATACTGATCAAAATCTCACCCTATCATATCATTATCTTAGTGATTATTACCCCATAAACCTCACAACCACAACCCCCCTAAAAAAAAAAATCTCTTGTAAAGAAACAGAGCCTTAAGACCCGGCTCCCTTCAAACAGCAGAAATTCCCATCACTAAAATATTCAGACTGGGCGATCAGCTTGAGCAAGACTTATCTGTAATCATAAAACTATGATGCAACGCTGGATGGTTCCTGTGCTGCTCTACTGCTCTACTACATTCAGTTCAGGAAGACCAGTTTAGTCAAGAGAATATATAGTTTTATACCAGTTTTAGGCAAAACAGGTAAATTACTCACATTACATAAGTTGACCACTCATGCAAAAAGCACAGGTATTATACAATTACTGAGTGTTTGTGTGTAATTGCTCTCTCTGTGCACCCCATAAAAAGGTTTCATTAAAAGACCATTTCACCTCTTGTTCGTCTGGGTTCACAATTCTTTCTTTACTTAAAGTTATTGTTTTGTCTTTGCCACCAAACCAAAATCCAAGAATATAAAATAGCTACCAGATTAGACAAAGAAAAACATCAAAACAACAGAAAGCTTAAACCAGCAAATGTTGGATCTTGGATTATTTTATAAGTAAAATATTTGCAGATTAATTTTCTAATCACTGTAGTCTCTTTTCAAGTCATAATTACAACTGGAAAAATTTGGATTATTCTAAAAACTTAATTATGACTTAATAACATGCCAATACCTGAAAACCACACTAACATGGAACCAGTGGATATGATGTTCTATCAGTGTGCAGTATTTCAATCCTCACAGGAGCACCGCAGGGCTTGCGTGTTGTTTCTCTCTGCGTTCGCAGGTATCTCAGACTTGGCAGTGACAAATTTCAGCTGCTCTGCCTGGCGCTGCACGATGATCAGCTACAAACAACACAGTGATAAATGAGCAAACACACGAGAAATCCTAGGATTCTCAGACCCTGAGAAAGTGCTTCTGAAACTGTGAGAGCGTGTTGTGCTGAGGGCAGGATTACGATCTGGATAAATATATGAGGGACCTTAATGTTTAATCAACAGTCCTGCAGCTTTTTAATAGACTCAATTCTTCAGGTTAAATACAATCTCTTGACTTCTCACAAACCATCCTTGTCTATGGAAAACTGAGGAGGCTTTTTGGCCCTTTGGCCTTCCATAGAGCACACATGCTGTTATTACCTCCACCAAGTAGGTTGTGTTTTCATCTGTGTTTGTTTAGTTGTTAGTCTGTCTGTTTGTGTAGTTTGCCGGATTATGCAAAAAATACTAAATGTATTATCATGTCATTCATTACTTCCACCAAGGAGGGTGTGTTCTCACATCTGTCCGTTCGTCTGTTTGTTGGTTTGTTTGCAGGCGACATTTTCATGAACATTAATGGAGGTATGAGCCACAGAAGAACATATTAACTTTTGTTGCAGATCCTGATCAGAGGGTGAATTCAGGAGTTATTTGTCTTTAACATTGTTGGGTTTTGTTTCTAAGAGAATAATGAATGGATCTAGATGTTATATACTGTATGAGCACTGGATTTTGAGATGGAGATATATGAAGACTAATGAGTACCAACCTAAAGCTCTGGATATACCTGCAAGCAATTTCCTGCTATTTTCTGTGTATATATTAAAGCCTGCCGCAGCATGTGTGCAGCAAAGACACAAATGCAGCACAGGTCCTCATGCTCTGAACTCAGCCCTGAGAGCCACCTGTGTTTCCTGCCTGCAACAAGCGAATGATTGACAGAGGGCGACACCTCCATTCCCCAGAGGCTGGCACTGACCAGACAAACACACAGGCTTTAAAACCCTGCAAGTGGCTCTGACTGTGGCGTGAAGGCCTCAGTCCTCTGGGAGCTGCAGAGGTCAACAGTCTGAAACACAGGCTTGGAGTCGCAGACGGCGCCATAGTGTTTTTTAAAAATCTTTTCTTAATCCTTAAACGTTGTCAGCGGTAGAGAGAGACAAGAAAATTCTCACCACTGTTATTATCAGAGAAGTATTTCAGCCATTAAAAGCTTGAGCTGTCAGAAGTCTAATCTCTCGTCCTCTCCCTCATTTCTTGATTGCCTCTCTCCATCACATTCACAGACACTTTCTCTCTCTCTCTCACATGCACACAAACACACACACTCATTCATTCTTCCATTAGCAACACAACAGTATAAGGCTGTTTTGTCACTTTGTGCTTCATAGCGATCCACCCTCAGGCACTGATAGCTCTCTGACCAAAGGAGGGGGAGGTTACTCTCCCCTCTCTCCCCCTCTCTTTGTTGATTTCATGGCCTCCACCTCTCACAGTGTGAATCTTTGTACCTACCCTGATTTCACATCAGTCTGAATGGTTTCCAGCACACTGACTTTTATTGGCGTTTATGTTTCATTCGCCTCTCAGCAGTGCAAATGTCAATTTTCATTCTTATTTATTGCTTCAATTTTTTTTGAGGAGCCAAACCACACAGGATTTCTTTGGCAGACTCCTGATTGACCCGTCATTAGGGCATAATTTTCACAGTCATGTTGTTGATTGATGATTTTGTCTGTAATAAAAAAAAAAGTGAAAATGCCAATTACTGCTACTAAATCAAAGTCTTTAAATGTTTGCTTTATCCAGCCAGCAGTTCAAAACCCAAATATGTTGAATTTACAATAATATTTAAACACAACAAACCAGTTTATTTCAGGAGTTGGAACCAACAGAGAATTGCTAACTTCCCTCATAAATAAATGAACCCCCTGAAGCTCATTGGCATGTGTCATGACACAATCTCATGCTGGGAAGTCAAACGCTGTTCAAACCCAGAGGAACTTCATTTCAAATTCAAGTGTTGAAAAACATTCAAATACTCGCTGAAACATGGACAGAAATTAATTTCAAAACATTGAAACTATTTGTGTGATGTAGTTATAAATTAAATTGAATCGACTGAAGAGGTGTAACACACAGTAGCAGCTTGTATCTAGAATGGCACCCTATTCCACCGTCCCTTTATACAACCACTTTTAAATTAAACACTAGATGTATTTTCAATCAAATCTTACACACACTCATATATATCAGTACCCTACATACCTGTATTCTTCCAACATACCCAGGAATTATTCTCTGAGAAATCAACAAAAATGTCTTTAGAAAATGTCCCACCTCGCAATGTTAGATAAAGTGTAAAAAACTCCTACACCCTGATCCAGATCTACACCCAAATTTGAAGGTTATTGAACCATCTTTTCATCAAGTTTCATGGCAAATCTATTCACAAGTTTTGTGTAACTCTACTAATTTAACAAATGTGGATGAAAACAGGGATTTAAATAACCTTAAACCTACACAAGGAGAGTCAGAAAGAGAAAACTACTGTCTTAATGCAGTATTTTAATTACCAACATAGTTTTGCATGATTTATCTGTTGTTACTGCGCCTCGATTAAGACTGTTAGGTACATTCAGATACGTCATTCAGGATGGTAAACGTAAACACAGTGAATACAATGTCTCTGTATGTACTTTGTGTATATGTACAGTACATTAATGCCTGTGCATATGTGTGTGTAATTTATTTCACTCCAGGCCCACTCCTCACACACTCTCACTTAGAGGCTGCTGCTCCTCCAAGTAGGCCGGCCGGTGGCCTGGGGCTGGATTTTGGTTGCAGGCAGAGAGCGCAGTGCTGCGAACAGGGGGCCTGGGTGTGTGGCTTTGTCAGGGCCCATCAGTGTCCTTGCTCTACTTACTCTGCATCAACACTTAAGGCTGTATGTGTGTGAGTGTGTGTGTCAGAGAGAGAGAGAGAGAGAGCAATGGGGGTAGCAAGCAAAAGAACATGCTGCCATAAGGGTTTTGGATGAGATGAGACGTATTGTGTGTTTGTTTGTGTGTGTGTGTGCATGTTTATGTATGTAATGAAAAAATGGAAAGGTTCTCTTTCTGCTGAGTCTCTATGTGTGTGTGTGTGTGTGTGTGTCACTGTGGTCTTTTATTACTACAGTCTTGTTGGTTCAGTGGACTTAAAGAAGGAAGAGATGTCTCTTACCTTTCTTCTCCATGGGTGTATGTGTGTGTGTGTGTGTGTGTGTGTGTGTGTGTGTGTGTGTGTGTGTGTGTGTATGTATGTGGGACTCCATACAGGCACAAGTCGTTGAATGCATGTTGGACATTTGTTAGGGAGTGACCTAAATCTGTCTGCCGTCATTACCTAACAAGAAGACGGAGAGAACAGCAAGTCACGAATAAATACACGCAAGGACACATGTACACGCACACACACTTCTGAGACCATGATGCTAGATTTTGTGCAGCAGCAGATTGGAAAATGCTAAGCAAGAGAGAATAAATGTGATGCCGTGCGTGCTGCAGTTCAGCCTTCATCCTCCCGTATGTCCGGGGCCAAGAGTTCAGTCTATATTAGGGAGTCGTATTACTGTTGTTCTCTTGTAGCTCGTCCGGCTGTGTCCCGTATGTTCCCTCGTAAAACTCCACAGCACAGCATCGCCCTCTGATCACCTGCGCCTTCAGTCAGCTGTTTATCCTGTTACCCCTGCCCTGCTGGGGGAGAGAGATCTCCGCCGCATCATTTATTTAGGATTACTGAAAAGTGGCCTAAGCCGAGCCCGGCCCTCTGCCTGGGTGTGTGTGTGTGTGTGTGTTTGTGTGTGTGTGTGTGGATATAAAGATTAAGGCTCTTTTATGGGTCAGTGGCCACTGTTGCTCCTGGCTAATTACGGACCTAAAACACGTACTCACACACTCGTGCTTTTACTCACAAACACACACTCAGATAAACACACCCTGCATATCTCTTCACTCTCGCTCTCTCTCTCCCTCATACACACTGCACTGTGCCATCTCCATGGTAACAGCAGATTGAGGGACTTTTCACAGCACTGATTGCCCAATTGTTATGTCTATTTCTCTCTCTCTCTCTTACTCCTCTCTGTCTGATTCTCTATTATTCTGCCCCCCCCCCCACTCTGCCTGTTTTCTGACGGTCATTCTCTTATTGTCAGTCTGTTATATTGTCCATTTAAAACACACACACACACATGCTGTATACAGAGTTCTTCTTCAATCTCACACTTCTTCTGGTTTCTCTCCAGGCTCTCCTAACACGGCCGGTGGTGTGACGTGCTAACTCTTCCTGCCCGGCATGGCTGCGTCACTGTGGTTCCTGGGGGTGTGTGCGCTCAGCCTGGCTCACGTCGCCCCCTCCAGCCAAGGTAAGCGTAGCAGCACTGAGGTAGTAACCTGGTATGGTGCTAAAGAATGACGGAAATTTAAATGCAAAAGAACAATAGTTTGTGCCTGTGTGACGTAGATTTGTGACTCAGGCCTCATCCACACTACTAACTTTTGTTTGATCAACTCTGCTATGCTTGGCATCCACACCACTCTGTAGTTTTAGAGCTGCTAAAACTGTGAAGTTTGGAAACGCTGCTTGCTCCATTTTTGTTTTAAACCCCGGGGCTGTGTTTTAGTCTAGACAAGCAGAAACAGAGATGTTTGGAAACGACGTAGACACTCAAAACTGATTGTTGATTCGGTCTTTCCAGTCAAGACATAGCCTTCTCTGATTCATCAGGCTCCTATCACATAACCACCTTCTGGAAAAAAACCACTGGCATTAGCCTCGGCTACCAGTGTAGAACGAAACATCAATTACAAGCATTGCTGACCTGTTACCAGCTGTTCAGCAGCAACATGATTCATTTTACAATGATACAACTGCTTATATGTAAAGGAGACAAGATTCGAGCAATCTGTTTCACTTGATGTACATTTTCAGGGCTTCCACATGGAGTTTAACTTTGGTGAACCACAATACTGCGTATTCGCTAATGTGTAGCCGCTCACTCAGGTGTGTTAGAATGGACGAGGATTAATACTGATACGGAGCCAAAATGCTCTTGTAGACAGAGCTTGTTTTAGTTTGAAAATACCATTTTGAAGAAAACGTAGCAGTATGTTTGTAGCCTAACATGAAAGACATGTGAAGCTGGACTCAGATCACTCGAGCCACAGAAAAGCCCTGTCATCTTGGCAAAGTTTGGGAAATGCTGTGTCATGTGCAGCTCGCCAAAGGGATGGATTCAGTAGTAATCAGGTCATTCAGCACCACAGACAGTTACAGTTATCTGATCGCCAACATTACAGCTGAGTTTGATCCTGATGCTGCAGACACATTCTGCATGTGTGCATGATGATATATGATACTCCAGGTCATGTGAACAACTGGATTAAGGTAATAGTACTGCATTCTGCCTGCAAAGGAAAGAAAATGAATTCCCATATTTGTCAAATAGTGTTGAGCACCTGACAATCAGTAGTAAAAGCTATACCCTCCACACTGACTGGAAATATAAACTACTGTGATGCACCTATGCATCACTTCACATGCAGGTGTCACAGTGCAGGTGTGATGTGATTTATATCATCAATCACACTCTGCATCCAGCAATGCTTCCAGTTAGCGCTTTCACATGTTTTAACGATTAAATAAAATCACACATGCTAATGCTTTCATCAATTGAATGTATGTAAGATGTTTGTATGACATTTACTTGAGGGATTATCAAGGCACCAACTCATGATATTACATATCTAATTTATTAGGTATAAAACAGGTATTTAAAGGGAAAATTCAACCAATTTCCCACATGAAGCTGTGGATCCTCATCACTTGTGTCCTTTTCAGTCTGGGGAACGAATCGCTCATAATGTCACGGTGGCTCTTGAGGGAGCTTTTCACAGTCCGAAAAAAACAAACCTAAATGATGTCATCAGAGTCAGCTCCGCCTGGGCTTTTAGACCACAAATCATAACAGCCTCATAGAGGCAGCGTATTTCAGCCTCTGCTGCAATTTTCACCATTTTCTTTAGCGGAGTGACTCTGGGGACGGCCAGGAGCTATCCACCACTTTGGTCCTGAAATATCTCCACTGCTATTACATAGATGGTCCTGAATTCTTTTTTCAGATGTTTATGTTGCTCAGACGATGAATCTTTCTGGTGATTCTGCAACACTTGTTCACGTTTGTGGTTTTTGGTTAAATGTCTCAAGATGTAATAAAAATTGGGAAAACTTCAATCAGCACACTGTGATTTTGAGTTAACATGTAGACATTACCAATCTACCAAGCTAAAAGTACTGTTCAAAAGCAGAGCCGCTGGTGTTGCTTGGAGTTTTCATCAACTTTATGAAAAGGTGCAGCACTAAATTGCTGGAGTAGCCCTTAAGCTCTACAAATAATTTCAGTCCCTTACGTCCTATGAAGAGATAACAATGACTTCGACTAAATTAAATCTGTCAACTAAATTCTCCAGTGGTGCAATCGTATAAATGTAAAATCTTGATTTTTGTTTTCTCTATTGCTTCTTCCACCTTTCAAATCTCACCCCTCCACCATCTTCCTCACCCCTGTCCCTCATTGGCAGCTATGTCCCGGGCTGCCATGCCATTTGGGCTGCTGCGCAGGGAGCTGGCATGCGAGGGTTATCCAATAGAGCTCCGCTGCCCTGGAAGTGACGTGGTGATGGTGGAAACTGCCAACTATGGACGCACCGACGACAAGATCTGTGATGCAGACCCCTTCCAAATGGAGAACACACAGTGTTACCTCCCCGATGCATTAAAGATTATGGCCCAGAGGTGTGTATGTGCTGGGATACACACTGTATACTGTGTTTATGTTAGAGCTTAAATGAGATGGCAGACACACACATTGTCTTGCAGTTCTTGTGCAGTTTGCATTTGAGTACATGTACATGTGAATGTTTTGAAAGCAGGTCAACCAATCAATGTGGCCTTCTACAGTTTCACACATACAGTTTGTGCCCACTGCTGCAAAACATACGTGTGGATTGGAAATGTAAGACAAAGCCGTCACTAGTGTTGTACATCATGTGTATGTGCAAGTGTAGTAACCTCTCCAGCAGAGTGTGAGTGCAGGGCTGCACCATTAGCTGTGTACTCAGCAGTGTTTTCCTAGAAGAACTGATCAATATTCACTGGGAGGGAGAGGAGACAAATGGAGTGTCCTTTGCTTCCCCTTTCCTGTCTTTTAATCACTCCCCCACCTTCTTTGTTTTCTCATTCCATCTTCCCTTTCACCAATCCATTAATCTATCCATCCATCCATCCATCTGCTGTTCTCCAGGTGTAACAACAGGACTCAGTGTGTCGTGGTCGCAGGGGTCGACGTGTTCCCAGACCCTTGCCCTGGAACATACAAGTACCTGGAGATCCAGTATGAGTGTGTCCCTTACAGTGAGTATGCATATATACATTAATGCACACATACACACACACACACACACAC